TAACATCTATACTTTAACATAGACTTACGACAGTCATAGAGCTCCAGTCATTTTGTGAAACGGGTACACAGAGATGCCAGAAAGGTGCACTTTCAAAGTATCATTAATAAGTGAAGACACTCCCAATGTACACAGTCATCACTCACAAACTGATGATACAAAGTTAGGACAAGAGAGCCAAATTGCTGTTTAAGATCAATACTTCAGCTTTCCAACATGGATAGAATGTATGACGCCCATTCTATGTCTCCATCTAAGACATGACTTGAACAATGATAAAACAGCATGGGTCACAATACGCACACTTAAACACTGCTGTTGACGAGGAAGGGGAATTTTCCCTGCACTGCATCAATAATGTTGCAACTACTTTGCATTCATCGCAGGATGAGATTTTAAACAATTTTAATAGAACTCAGCGCAAGTGGTTTGATTCCCAAGGGCTTTATTAAAAGACTTGAAAACTATTTTAAAAAATCAATTTTTAAACCACATGACAATTGTACTTTGATTGGTGACCCAATGTTTCAGTGAGTGAGTGAGTATGGTTTTGCGCTGCTTTTAGCAATATTCCAGCAATATCACGGCAGAGAACACCAGAAATGGGCTTCACACAATGTACCCATGTGGGGAATCGAACCCGGGTCTTCAGCATGACAAGCGGACGCTTTAACCACGAGGCCAATGTTTCAGAAATACAGCAAACTAGTGATATAATGCACTCAAAGGGACATCTCATTTTGGTTTCTTACAACCATAGTTCGTTCATTCTGAATAAAATATACAGTCCATTGTATCCAGAAACGCAGTTACTGTATTGCTGAACCACTACTCAACTCACCAGTCCACTCACTCACTCCTTAAATAATTTTTCACAGATTTCTTCCAATACAAAAAATTTATAGCAATTGTGTTAATAAGTGCTTGTCTTCAGATTTGGCACTTCATTTACCTCAAACCCTTTATTCCCTTTAAAGATCATCTTACAAAAATAGGATTCTAATCAATTCTCATTTACCAACAGCAGACATCTTGTTGTGTAAACTGTCAAAAAACAGATTCAAAGACTAATCTTTTAACCACTTATCAGTGAATACTACCACCCACACAACCAATTCTTACATTACATGACTGTCACTTCTGATAAAGGTACGCCCAGACCAAACAACACATTTCCAATATATCTTCCTTGTTTATGTCAGTAAAACCTTCATGACAACACCGTGGGTCTGGTTATATGTGTGAGTCTATCTATGACCGAGTCCTCGGGCAGCTACAAGACTACTTGCACTAATTGGGAAGGCAGTGATAAACAAGCGATGTTTTCCTGCTACATATAACATGATCTTCAACGCAGGGACACAACAGCTCTTAAGTAGGGGAGCAAGGGCATAAGACCGACTTAACATTCCTTGAGAGCCCTTATGCCCAAACACAAGATCATACTAGAAAATGCTACAACATGTATGAGTGGGAAAATCAAATGTCGGCAATTTATATGTATTCCACAATTCTACATTGATTTTCAGGAACAGTTTGCAAAAAAAAGATGCAGAAAAGATGGAACCAAATTTGTTGAAAGATGATAATTACATACTATTATTTTTTTTTTACATTAGAAAGGGATAAATCCCAAAACTTATACATAATTTGTCTGAAACAACATATCATGTAACAAAACAAATTGTTTATCAATGTCATCTTCTGATTGAATGCAAAGGAATCTTTGAGAGGTTTTCAGTATTGGAGCTATCTGTTTGAGTCTTGATTGGATGGTCAATAAGATCCTCTCTGTGAGGCCAGACTTGATTATTTGGTACTTGCCACAACCTAAATGTGATGAGGTTAAGCATGTGCACACTTAAAACTTTTACTGAAATATCAAAGTAACGAACATCACTCATCAGGCTAAAAAAATAATGAGTTTCTTTGTCTGACTAGAAGGTAAACTGTCCCCGTACTAAATGTGTGAAAAGGTTTCTTCCATATGCCATGTCTCATCAATGCACGCTTGAAAATATGTCCAGATTATATCAACATGAAATTAACATATACGTGATATTCTGGACAATTTGAGCAAGAGCTTAACTATTTCAGCTTTTCATCTAGTCCTTTCATGAAAGCTTTTCACCAAGATTGGAAAAGTCTCCAGTCACATGATGTTTTTGATGTTTCTTCTTCCCTTGTCTATTTCAACCAAATGTCAATATCAGGAAAAGGTTAATGTCGGACTAATCCAGGCCAACCAACAGCTGAGCCAAGGGTCAGCTGAAAACTAAACTGACCACACTGCCTATCATGACAGTAGTTTATTTCTCTGTGGGTAAGTGTATATCATCACAGAACTGATTCAACATGGGGTAACAACAGGGATGCAGGTCATGTGAAGTTCACTGTGTATCTACATTGGAAAAAGGATGACCTGTTCAGCATCTTGTCCAAGTCAGCACCTGGATTCTCCCCAATCCTGTCTGACTTCCTTAAAAGTTTGAGCCATTTTGAAACTTGTGTCATAAAGCACCAGAAAGCTAATGTTGACTTCCTGTAAGTCAATTCATTGGTCACTCAAAACTCAAGAAAGGCTGTGGTTCGATCCCCGACCGCGTCATACAAAAAGATGGTACTTGTTGGTCCCTGCCTGGCGCGCGGCATTAATGGGTACAACAAGGACTGGTCGGCTCGGAGTCAGTATAATGTGTCTGAGTGGGGTATTCATGCTTCACTGCGGCATGGTATCTCAGTGGGCTAGCACTATAAACCAGCTTCAGTCTGGGCTAGTACAAGCAGCCGCACCTCCACACATACACACGATGCACATCGTCATATGAGCGAAATATTCTCAAGTACGACGTAAAAGCCAATTTCACCTCACCTCACCTCAAGAAAGGCTGTTCTGATATTACATGTAATGGGACCTCCAAACATCGGTTTTTGAATGTGTTGCAAGCCCACACAGCTGATTTGTCTTTCACAAATAGAGGATACCAAACGACCTTCCATGTAATATCATATATACTAAACCAGTTAATAATTTAGTATCAAACGAGCACGCGTTTTATAAAACTGGTATTTCATGGAAAAGAGTTTAGTATTCTGTTTATTACTCTCTAACATAAATTGATAGAAACAAGCAAGGTCTAATACCATTGTGATAGAGGTATTAGCATTGTGATGTCATAACTGACATCTTACACACGGCATCACATGATGTTATTACACAATGTGTAATAACATTATAGATTTATTAAACAGTGATATCTTCAACTGGAGAATAATAATGGGGTATATATGCAGCTCTTATGCTCGTACTCAAGTCATAAAAACTAGGAGAGTCTAGATTGTATTTAATAGTTGTGATGACAAACTATTTTACAGATGTCAATTTTCCATTTCTTATTCTAAAAGAGAAGAACTCAGATTAACAGAAAATCTATACATTTCAATGTTGAACCTTTGTATGAATGCTGGCATGTATTGTGTGTAAATCCTGGCAGATCCCAGGGTGTCCAGACCCTGACCTGTGCTGGTCAGTGACCTGTGGATCAATCACCGGCCATCAACTCCCTGTGCTGACATCAATGTGCGATCATGTTCCTGCACCACTTCAACCCATCACCGATCTATCGATAGTTCCGTCACTTGAGCCTGTCCTATTCCCCAACAGCTGCCTATTTTCCCAACACTTTACCATTATCTACCAAAAACTTCCACACGCCACAATATCAAGGCAACACCAGTTTATCTGTTGTCATAGACAACCCATCTATGGGAAGGATTATGGGGGGCTGGGAAGCATCAGAAAGGTAGCTTGAATTCTTCCTTCACAATTCAACATGGTATGAAGAGGCTGGTGAGGTTGGTTGGTTGGTTGGTTGGTTGGTTGTTTAATGCAGCACTCAGCAATATTCCAGCTATTTCGCGGTGGTCTGTAAATAATTGAGTCTGGACCAGACAATCTAGTGTGGTGAGAAGGTGAAATACACAATGATAAGTTTGTTTAATACATTACTCAGTAAAATTAAATAAAATGGAGGTCCTGACCAGACAATCCAGTGATTGACATCATGAACTGTTACCTGTGCATTGACATCTATGCAAGACCATAAGATGCTTAAAAATCAAATTGCTAGTGTTTCTACAGATTTGTTTTTTCTAAATTCTCTCACACAGGATCTATTCAATTAATTACTGTAACCACACATATATGTTTCTAAAAATGCAATTCAATATAAGGAACAAAATATTGAACTGGGGCCCACGATGATTCACTCACTCACTCACTGACTGTTCCGGAGAAGCAGAGGTACAACAGTTTCTCTCAGACACAAAATGTCAGCACAACACCATGTTATTTGATGCAGTCAGCCAACAGTTTTATAACAGATTTCACTTTTCTGCATTAATCCTTGTCCCAGTCATAAAGTACAGAATGGCTAATCATGCCTGTCATTGGTCTGATACTGTATGGTCATGTCATACTCCATGCTACTACTTCCACCGAGCCGTCTTTGTTGCCCTGTAATTCTGCCATATCAAACTGATACCACGTCAAACTGGTTATATGCACTGACAACAATACTTGATCATTCAAGTTTACAATTTCACTTTTGCAAGTTATCATTGGTTTTCACTCATCCCTAAGAAACTGCTAAAACAAATGTTAAACCTCTCTGTTCTCAGAGGACTGACCAGAGCCCAAAGGAAACAAATACCCATAAAAATACAACTGAATCTATATTGTGGGTTGCTCTATCTTTGATGGATTAGAAAACCAAAACCCTACACTCCAACATTATCATTACTTTTGAATCAGGTCATTTTAACCTTCCACTTCATCTAAAACATCATCAACAACTACAATTGTCAAAGAATCACTGTTTGCTTCATTATTATTTCTTCTTTTAATTCATCTAAACTTATCCAGCTTTTCACAAGAAAGCTGACTGATCCATTAATCCAGCACAGCAATCCACCATCAGTGTCTCCAACATTCTGAACAGGCTCTGGCAGATGACCTCTGTCCAAAGGTCAGTGGCCTGCAAGCTCCTCCTCCTGCTGCTAACCACCACATGTTCAGTTGTCCCATCAGCCCTAACCCAGCATGATCACACACCCAATACTCTGTATTACACCATGATGACAGCTGACAATGTAACGCAAATGTCTGCCGAAACAAATCAAGCAACTCACATGCTATAGCTGATAAAAAATGGAAATCAAGACTTAGAAATATTTCATCATGCTGAAAGCAATGTTCTTGTTGTCTGAAACAGTGTAAGATTTACAAAAGTATTTTCTGAAATAATTTAAAGGGATATCATGTCAGTGTATATTTCTGTAACAATGGTCTCTGAAGTCAGCCATGATGGTAGTACATGTATTAGCAGATGTTCACCGATTTCCGATTATGGCCAGATTATCTGTCCCCTACTGTTCCTGATGGGGACTGACCAAGCGGACATCGACCCTTCTCGCTACTACAATGCCATCTAATGGTGTTGCTGTCATGAAGAGTTATTTTAAGTTAAAGGAGAATACGAGTGAATTACAATAATTTGCTGGGTGAAAGATAAAGTCATCAGAAACATATTCCCAAATTTTCAATTAAAAATTATGTATAAGTATGTTTTAATCGTGAAAACAGTTTCAGTAAATCTCAGCTTCGGCCATTATAAATATTTTGCTGGAACCCACGTGACCTTTCCGTTCGTGACGTCAAATGTGCCTGGAGTCCGCCATATTGCCAAAGACCAAGAGCTACAGTAGTACAAATCGTGTTGTTTCTGTCGTTTTTGTAAATGGTACGATGGTGTATTCTGTTGCCTGGGGATGCACGGAATCATCGAACAATAGAAAGCCACCATTTCTTCCGTTTTCCAAGTAAAGAGACAGACTTAGGCAAGAGAAATGGCCCGATCATGCCGAGTCGGACGCATATGAAAGTGACAAGCACACATTGGGCATATAAATCCCAAAGCTAGGTTGAAGAAGGAAGAATTACCCACGATATTCATTTATACTCCATCATTCCCTGTTACAGTTTACTGTCAGTGGTATTTTTAACATAAATTAAATCAAGTACGATTGCCAGTCGAATTGCCCCCGCTGCAAATTGCCCCAGCAAATTTGGTCAAATTACCCCGGAGTTTTGGTCAAATTGCCCCAGTGGGATAGTTAAAATGCCCCAATTTATTTAAAATGATTAAATAAATGCATAGTTTTGTCAACTTTGATATTATGTTCTTCATATAAAAGTATATACATAGTATTGAGTTTACTGATGGAACATTTATCAGAAATATTACTTCTTAATAACTTTTATATGAAGAACATAATATCAAAGTTTACAAAAAATATGCATTTACGGCATATATTTAATCATTTTAAATAAATTTGACCAAATTAGAATGAATGACCAAATTTGCTGGGGCAGTTTTGTCGCTGGGGCAGTTCCACTGGTACCCATGAGATATATATTATCAAAATCAGTAAGAGATTTCACATGAGCTTGAAAATGTTTCGCTATGACGTTCTTTTCGGTTTGGAGCCCTAAATGCTGCAGACTAGCCGAAACATTGCCGAATACAACGGCAAATCATGAAGTACTTGTTGCTTTCATTGTTTTCCATTTTGTCCAATTACGCACGTCGGCATCAGACTCGCTATTTGTCAGTAGTGTGTGCCGTGAAAGTTGTTCTGTGTTCACATTGGCTGACAAGATGCCATTCTAAGGCTATGGCCGAATACCATAATATTTCCATAACCAAACACTGGGGAAACATACATTGTCCTGACAAGTATTTTATAATTACATGACACAAAAGGAACTGCAATCACATGGCAAAAAATATAATTCTTAGGGACTGGTCATATACTTATAGGGGTGGGTTTGCTGGTTGGAACTGTATCACATTTTGCTGTCAAATAGTATTCTTGTTAAATGATATGGTATATTTTAAAATTTATTTTGAACTCAAGTGGTGACTCCGTTTCGCTTGATTCTTCTTCTTCATCTTTACTGGAAGATTGTCTTGCAAGATGTAAAATCGGATAATACTGATACGGTCTAACATCCATTTCAGAAGTGACATCAGGAACACCTTTTACTGCTTCAGAATCCATGAGCACTGTTTAGTTGTGAGGTGAAATCAAAGAGGCAGCCATCAGCAACAAGGCACATATACCCATACGTGATACCCCTCTGCTCATTAACTTTTGGGTGTTTCCGTAAAAGGCGGAAATACGAGTACGTGTTTTGTGTTTTTATTGCTATTTTACAAACTTTTTGTTCAATTTTAATCACGGGCGGTGACTTTTAGAACATGCAATAAATAAAGAGTTTTGTTTCCGTTCGGATTCTGCTCTAAAGGACAAAATAAGGAAGTGAACCTACTTTAAATTTCCTGGCAATCTATGGCATCATTAAACAACATTTGTTGAAAAAAAAGAATAGAGTATCATTACACAAAATGTCCATGTTTGCATGCAAACCTAGAACAGGTATTCTAAACTGGTCACAGCAAAACAGCTCATTTTGCCATGACATATAGACTACAAACGCAAAGATAAGAATTGCATACATCAGGTAGGAATATCAAGGGTACTTTTGTTTGAAATAAATCTAAGTGTATTTTCAATATCTTTAAAAAGAATATTTCATACACAATGTTTCAATTTGAGCTTACTTATTCTTTTGAGATGTTCATAATATATTTTGTCATTAATTTTCTAGTCAATTTCTGGCATTGCTGACATTCTGCTTTACTATAACAGGGGCACGATAGTGAAAGGTACCGGTGTTCTTTGTTCTCTGACCATTTACATTCACATACACAATGTTTCATGAGGTGATCAATTCACATATATCCTCTTTCAAATGGAATGTTGTTACAAATGAGGAAAACACTTTTGTATGTAACAAACTTTGCTGTATGTTTCAAGGGTTTCTGTTAGTTAATTTTGAACATATTCTTTTGACAAACACAACTTGACCAAAATGATCCGCTAACAACAGAAATTTATACAGCAACATCAATGAAATTGTCTTGTCAAGATCCTATCTTAATATGATAAGGCCAGTATATAAGGGCTTGGTAGCCCAGTAGTACTAGTAGCGGTGCACAACTACTCATCAGTCATAAGGCCAGTATATAAGGGCTTGATAGCCCAGTAGTAGTGGTGCACAACTACTCATCAGTCATAAGGCCAGTATATAAGGGCTTGATAGCCCAGTAGTAGCGGTGCACAACTACTCATCAGTCATAAGGCCAGTATATAAGGGCTTGGTAGCCCAGTAGTAGCGGTGCACAACTACTCATCAGTCATAAGGCCAGTATATAAGGGCTTGGTAGCCCAGTAGTAGCGGTGCACAACTACTCATCAGTCATAAGGCCAGTATATAAGGGCTTGGTAGCCCAGTAGTAGCGGTGCACAACTACTCATCAGTCATAAGGCCAGTATAAAAGGGCTTGGTATCCCAGTAGTAGCGGTGCACAACTACTCATCAGTCATAAGGCCAGTATAAAGGGCTTGGTAGCCCAGTAGTAGCGGTGCACAACTACTCATCAGTCATAAGGCCAGTATAAAAGGGCTTGGTAGCCCAGTAGTAGCGGTGCACAACTACTCATCAGCCATAAGGCCAGTATATAAAGGGCTTGGTAGCCCAGTAGTAGCGGTGCACAACTACTCATCAGTCATAAGGCCAGTATATAAGGGCTTGGTAGCCCAGTAGTAGTGGTGCACAACTACTCATCAGTCATAAGGCCACTATATAAGGGCTTGATAGCCCAGTAGTAGTGGTGCACAACTACAAACCTCACTTGAATTTTGAAGGTAACATGAGGGCGTAAGCAAGTCATTAATGTCAAGGTGAAACAAAACTTGTCAAAAGGGTAAGGAAGGAAACTGGTACTGGGCAGATAGGTTCTCAAGTTGATGGCACAGAATCCAACTAAAGTCCACATAAGCCTGTCTCCTCCCCTGACGGATCATCCTGGATCATATATACACACAGCGTCGGGATCAAAAACATCATCATATTGTCATTCCACTGGATAAAACACATTGATCACTCGATGACATTAGCATAAATATGTCTTGAAAGTACAGAAAGTTGAATCTGTCCTTGATGAAGACACAGCTTGTGTTGTCTGGGCTCTGGGAGTACAACAGTGTCACATCTCACACTGACAGGCCTTCTTGCAATCTCATTAACGTCAAATTAGGATTATTTTAACTACCTCCATGGAAATCTTCAGTACAGATATCAGACAAGGAAACAAATGTACTTTCAAATATAGACTACAAGAACAGTTATAGACCCACAACAGACTGTTTACCCTAAGTGTACTGAATCTCATTATAAACGCGAGATCACACAAAAGCTTTCGGCAACCCACACCTAGTATCCTGACACGAAGTTTAGGTCACAGTAGTCTCAGACACTCACACCAGCGTGGTCTAATTAATTATTTTCCTACTTTCTTCCTGTTTACACAACATGTGGCAGTGACATATGCAAAAACAACATTTTTTATTTCAGTCAAATAAAATCTATCTCACCTGACCTAAGCACATGTGTCAGTGGGAGGAAATGACTGAAGCAACGGTAAAATGTCAAGCGTTGTAGTAATAGAGAAGCAACAGGAAGTGTGAATTGAGTTACCCCCCTTATTTGTTGACCATTTGAGATGTTTCAGCAGAGTTTTCTAGAAGGCCGGATGTACCTATACAGAAGCACAATGAAGGCAACTAATGACTTTTTACAACCTCACCTGTGTCAAATAGCCAAATAACAAAAATAACCGTGAAATTCCTGCTCACTTCCAGCACCGAGCCAGATGTTGGAACAGAGACTTTCAAAACATTCCTCAGTGACATATTCATTCATTCAGTTTGTTACATGGAATCTCAATGGTTTAGTCATCATTTAACAGCCGTACAAATATTGTTTCTAACATGGTTGTGACTAGGACCCTACCGCAAACAGCCCCGCAGATCTCATAGTTATAAATACTGGCCATACTTACAGCAGTGCAACATTATATAGGTGCTACTTAAAGACCTGTATAAGGAACTGTTCATTTAATAATACTTATCTCTCTCT